CTACTTAATTTGTTTCAATGACACCAAAGACAAGACTACCTTGAAATTTATGATTTACCTGTATAGATCTGAAATAATTTATTGGCCAATAATGAAAATCTTATAATTTTGTGAAGCAAAGTACTGAAGCAACAATGTCAGTGACCAAAGAACTCATGCATACAAATGTAACCAATGGACATAGACAACAATGCTGGGGGTGGGGCTGGGATGGGGGGAGGGTGTCAATGGGGGAAAAAGGAGAAACATCTGTAACAATAATAAATTAATTAAATTAAAAAAAACAATGTCAGTGACATTTGACACAGTTGTAAAGATATGCTACAAGTTCTTCTCACTATAAGAAAATTGAAATATAAATAAAAATGATGATGACGGTGGTGGTGGTAATGATTCATACTTATATGCCAGACAAATTTGTAAGCTCTTTACCTTTTAAATCATAAGAAAGATCAGATATTCCTCATTATACTGTTCATGAAATGGAGACAGAAAAAGGTTAACTTGCTTATGATAACACTACTTTTAAGTGGCAAGACTACTATAGAAATAATCAAACACGAAGATATGTCAATTCACACGAGAACACTTCCCCCTGTTGTGTTTTTACACATTTTTTAGTAAATTATGCACACATGAAAATGTACAAATTATGTGAGTGGCTTTATAAGTTATCAGAAAATGAACAAACATATAGAATTCCCACCTACAACTAAAAAATTGGACACTACCAGTATCTCATCATAAGCACATCTTTACCTCTCCAAAGTAATCTCTACTCTGATTTATAAGATCAGATATCATTGCATGATTTTGCACTTTATTGAAATGAAATAATGTCATATATATTATTTCACTTATTTATTTTATTTTTTTCCCTTTATAGATTTTAGAGAGGGAAGAAGGGAGAGAGAGAGAGAGAGAGAGAGAGAGAGAGAGAGAGAGAGAGAGAGAGAAACATCAATGAGAAAGAACATCAATTGGCCGCCTCCTGCATGCCTCTCCCTGGGGATTTGGCCCACAACCTGGGCATGTGCCCTGATCAGGAATCAAAACAGTGACATCTTGGTGCATGGATTGATGCTCAACCACTGAGCCACACAGGTCAGGTTATTTTACTTATTTTTATTATTTGTGAGGTTCATCAGTTTTGCTCCATGGAGCAAGTGTCCATGAGTATGTGCATCTGTTTCTGAGCTTCCTGTTTTGTTCCATTGGTTTACATGCTTATCCTTGAATTAACACTACACAATTTGATTGACTATAGCTTTTTAAAAAGTTGACCTTTTTTTTAAGTTACCTATTTATGGTACAGTTAAGGTAGATGTCGTAAGTGATATAATTTATCAAATATCTCACCCATTTGAATTAAAACTTGCTCAATGTTACTAAATAAAATCAAATATGTTATTTTTGCAATTTAAAAAAAAAAAAGTTGATCTTTTCAAGATTGTCAAGACTTTTCCTGGCATTTCAATAGCAACATTAGAATCATTTTTTCAATTTATGTGTGCCTACACAAACTGCTGCAATTATTTTTCCAGAAAGCCCACTGACCACATTCCCAATATTGCATTTTTCCAATCACAAACATGGTCTATCCTTACTGTTATTTATATCTCTGTAATTTCTTTCAATAATGTTTATACTTTTCTGTATAAAGGTTTTGCATATATTTATTTCTAGGTGTTTTATTTTTTTCCTGCCAATATAAATAATAAATATTTATAAAATTTATTTTTCAATTGTTTGTTAGTTGAATTTATGTAAGTAAAGATGATTTTTAGATTGATCTTATGTCAAATAAGCTTGCTAAGTCATATTTCAATAGTTCACTATAGTGTTATTTTATTAAAGTAACTTAATATTTTATTACAAATATTTGCAATATTATTTGCAAATAGTGAAAGCCCTATTATTTCCTTAATATTTACATAATTTACTTCTTTGCTTGCATCAGTAAGAAACCCTAAGACAAAAAAGAATATAAGTGATGACAGTGGACGTCCTTATATATTTGTAATCTATTAGTGTTTCATCATCTCATATGTTTCTGCAATTTTTTAAATACTCATAATTGAACTAAAGTTATTTTTTGTTCCTAGTACACAAAGAAGACATTGGTGGTAGTGATATTGTTGCTTTTGTTTTGTTTTTGTTTTTAATCATGAAAGTGACTTGTGTTATCAGATGCATCTGAATCTACTGAAATTGCTTTTCTCGTCTTGGCCAGAGATGAAAGTCATTTCCTTTATTCTGTTTATGAAAGTAAATCACCATAATTGAATTCTCAATGTTAACATAATCTTGCATTCATAATTAAATACAGTTTGGAGATGATATGTTATTTTATGAATCACTGAACTTGGTGTGTTAATCCTGTGTTTAGGATTTTTGCCTCTGTGTTTATGAGATACTTTATAGTTTCCCTTTCTGGTGAGGTTTCTATGTGTCGTAATGTGGTCTCAAACAACAGTTGTTCATTGTTTCCTACCATCTGAAATATTTCATAGAAATATATTAACATTATATATTGAATATTTTAAAGAATTCACTAATGAAGCCATCTGGGGTGTGGTTTATTTGAGGGAAAGGTTTAAATTATGAATTCCATTTCTTCAATAGATCAGCGGCAATGCATTTTCTTCTTGCTTTCTAGTTTGCCCTTAAACCTCAGGAGTGACAGCATTCCGGGACTTAATGCCCAGAGTCCTCTGTCTTCTGGAACTCATTCTGAATTTTAGGAGCCATGGTAGCAGTACCAAAAATGAAGAAGCACTAGTATAAAAAAGAAGCTGGTGCATAGTCACATGAAACTTTCTCAATACAATTATAGATGAAGATGATCAAAAGGATATTTCACTTTCATCAAGATAAAAACAAGAAAATCAAAAGCTTTTACAAGGATTGTCTTAATTTTACATTAGCTTTCATGTCATGAAGATTTTATTTTACTATTTTTGCTTAGTTTAATAGAGAGTTATGAATGTGTGAGAAAAATACTTGTTTCAACTTTGTTAAGCAAATAGAATGTAAACAGCTGCTAAGAAAAATTTGGTTTGATAAATAAATTGGCAAATCTTTATTCAGGTGTGAGTGGTTTGGGCTTATACATGCTATTGTGTATTCAATTGTCAAGGTCATACTTTAAACCAATGATAAATTAATAAGTAGAAATTAATAAAACATTGTGACATCTATATAATATACAATGTTTTAATATCAAACCAAAAGTTTACATTTAAACATTGTAAAAATAAATATTATTACTATTTTATATTCTAGCAGTGGATAAATGTTGAATAATATAAAATTTATCTTAAGCAAGGTTGCTGGAATTAACATTTTCCAGTGTTATTTTCTTAACATACAATTTTTCCTAATGTTGATTATTCAGCAGTAATTCTATAATATTTTAAAATACTTTCACCTTTGATTGTACAATGTATACTACTACTTGTCAACTCCAAGGATACAATAATTAGAAGTTATTAGCTAATAGCAAAACATCAGTGTTTTAAATAAATTTTAATAATTCTATGGAAGCAATGACCAAATATATATTTAATAATAGAGAAAATAATAAAACATAAACATACTTTTTAAATTAAATTTTATAAAGAGTCTAGTGTGCCTGGACTCACTGGTTGAGCATTGACCCATGTATCAGGAGGTCAATTCAATTCCCAGTCAGGGCACATGCCCAGGATGTGGGCAAAATCCCCAGTGGGAGGCATGCAGGAGGCGGCCAATCAATGTTTCTCTCTCTCTCTCTCTCTCTCTCTCATTCCTTTCCTCTCTAAAATCAATAAGAAAAATTATTTAAAAAAAAAAAAAAGAAAGAAAGAGTCCAGTGGTCACCAGTTAACCAGAATGGAAAACATAGGAAAGAATATTTCAAAATCCCCATTTAGCTTTCTTATGGATAAAGCAACCTCTTAAATGTTTACTTTGTCCACATTTCCAGTGCCTGACATATAATCCCAGCACTATAAATCCTCACATAATTAACAACAATGTATTGTTTGGGAGGGGTTTTCTTGGCAACAATGGCCTATGAAGGGAACTTTTTAACTACTAAAAGGACTTTAAAAGGGAAGTAACTCCTGAGAGACCAAAGAAAGCATTAAAACCTTGTAAAAAAGGTTACATTTAGCAGTAGTTAGAGAAAATAGAAACAAACAAAAAGGCAAGGCTCCAACAACAAAACATAAAATAAAATGAAATTACATTTTTCCCCCTAAAACACTACTAGAAAAACAGCCAAATACTCTGCATAGCACTCCTCAGTACCAACACTCTGTGACATCACTATCGATGACATCAAATGCTGCCTAGTTGTTTTCTAGTCCTAAAAGAAATCAGGCCTGCAGGGGATTCAGAGGCCACAGAAATGTAAGTGTGAACATGTCTATTTTAATATTTTATATCGTTACTAAATGTTTAAGTAAATATGGGGAGAAAAAAACCAAAACTACAGTGTATAGAACCTCTTTTAAAAATGTTTTCTAGTTCTTACAAAGCCAGAAATGTTTTTTAAATACCTGATAATGTTCCACATAACAGGTGATTTAATTATAAATAATGGATATATTAGAAGATTAATAGTTTGGTAGTAGTTTAATACCAAACACAATGCAATGCATTATCCTTGAACAATATTCAATCTGTAATCAAGAATTATTAATGTGTAATTTATGTGTTGAATTTAAGTTAACTGTGTTTAGTTTGTTATAGCTACCTAGTAGTTAATTCACTGACTTTTCTCCATATTTTCACTATTTCCTCCTGCAGTGAGCCTACCTGACCTTATTTAGATCCTACTGTGGTATTCCTTGTGCAAATCAAAACAACCGCCAATTCTATATGAACAAATTCTGAACCAATTCAGTGTGTTTTTGTTGTTGTTGTTGTTGTTGCAAATGCCATTAGTTCAGCCTTGCTTGAACCCAGCACACTTGAAGTTTATCTAGTTTGCTCAGAAGAAAACACTAGAGACAATGGTTGCCTCTGAATCAAAGTGGATTAAAGGAGGAAAGACTTTGCGCTTGTTTTCTACTTTCTTCTCTTGCATCCAAGATCAAAATAAGCCTAAACACGAATCTCAGAAGCTGGGAAAAAATCTTCAGAGAGACAATAAGGTGTCCCGGGATGAGAACAGAGCTCTTAGAAGAGAAAACAAGTCCCTGTGGGGAGAAAACAACGCGCTCCGAAGAGAAAACAAAGCCTTCCGAATGGACAACCAGTTAATCCGGGGGAAGAACCTGACCCTGAGAGAGCAAAACCAGGTCCTGTGGCAGTTGAAGAAAGCGATTTTCGAGAGCCAAAAACCACCCGAGGAACAAATCAATGTGTTGAGAACAAAAAATAGGTCTTATCGGCAACAGAACAAAGCGCTGGAAGCTCAGACCAAGGCTCTCTGGGAACAGGAGATCGCCTTCCAGAATGAGGCCAAAGCCCTGGACGAAGAAATAAAGTCTCTGCACGAGAACATCGAGGCCCTGCAGCACCAGGAGAGAGCCATCCAGATGGAGGAAGTGGCCCTGAAGAAGGAGGGACTAGCGCTGGAGAAGGAGGAGCAGGCGCTGTGGAAGGTGGACCAGGCCCTTCGGGAGGAGAACAAAGCTCTCCGAGAAGAAAAAGGGGCCCTTCAAGAGGAAGAGAAAGCCCTTCTGGAAGAGGCGAAGATCCTGGAGCAGTGGAATAATATTCTTCAGGGAAAAGACGACACGCACGCTTGCTGAGAGAATGCACACTTAAGAAAATAGAGCAGGAGAAGTGTTATTGGAAACCAACCAACCATGAAAATCATTGAGAATTGGGGGAAAAAAAAATTCAAACTTTTGAAGATGAAATACTATTGTTGGGCTTGGAGTCAAAAGCCAGGAAATGTACAGTGCTCAGTACATTTAAATAAACTAAATAAAGTCCTGAAAGAAAAAAAAAAAGAAATTTTTTAGGTTCACTTAAATTTGACAATTCTATGTGGTTAAATTTATTTTATTTTAGAATGTAAAATAAGTATTGCTCAAAATGTGATGCTGAATGAACCGACTGAGTGTGGTGTTAACTCTCAGGGACAGTGGATGAATGTTGTAAAAAAATTAACAGCACAGAGAAAAATGTTTTTTATCTTTGTTGTTGAATTTCAGATCTTTCCCCTCTTATCCCCCATTGATCCCCTCCTCCCAGCTCCTACCCACCTCCTGCCTTCCCCACACTAGTGTCTGGGTCCATTGGTTACGCGTATATGCATAGAAGTTCTTTGCCGTATCTCTCAGAATTTGTTCTTTGAATTATGAACAATGCAGTGAAATAGAAAGCTTTGCATATTTAGTTCATATGTGTTGTGAAAGAAGCTATATTGTATAAGAATATCTCTTCTGCTTTCTTATGCTTACTCCAATATCTCAATGAGGCCAATAAAATAGAAAGAATTGAAAAACTGTGTGATAATACAAACATATTTAATGAGTATTCACAGGCTTCCTCATTTTCTCTTTATTTTTACCTTAAGTTACTGCCCCCATCCTTTATCTTTCTGGGATGGTGTCTGTTCTGTCTAGTAAACGTATTAATGAGAGAAAAGGGAGCGAGAGAACAAAGGTCTCCAAACCAGAGTAAGGAGTTTCGGAGCTTGGACTGTGAATCTGTGGCTCAGTTGTTCAGTGAAAATTGGGGAAGGAAGAAATGGAGTTTTCAGAAGTGTTAATATTGATAATTAATCTAGTCCAGCGATTTTCAACCTTTTTCATCTCATGACACACATAAAGTAATTAAAGTCAGTAGCACATCAAAAAATAGGGGTAATTTTTGTTGATTAAAACCGATGGCTATTGTTGTGCTGGATGTTGTCTCTTTTTTTTTTTTTTTGTTAATCCTCACCTGAGAATATTTTTCCCATTGATTTTTAGAGAGAATGGAAGGTTGGGGAGGAGAGAGAGAGAGAGAGAGAGAGAGAGAGGTGAGAGAGACACATTGCTTGGTTGCCTCCTGCATGTGCCCCAAACTAGGGCTAAGAATCCAACCTGTAACCCAGGTATGTGTCCTGGACCAGGAATCGAACACAAGACACTTTGGTACATGGGTCTATGCTCTAACCACTGAGCACACCAGTTAGTGCAGGTGTTGTCATTTTTTTTTTTTTTTTTTTGACAGTTTAAGGGAAAAGAGATCAGTGTCCCTAACTAAATATTCAGGTATTACATGTCTTAAAAATTCTTGTGGCAGTCCTGGCCAGTTTTGTTCAGTGGTTAGAGCGTCAGCCTGCTGACCAGAGTCCCGGGTTCGGTTCCCAAGAAGGGCACGTACCTCGGTTGCAGTTTGTCCCCAGCTTCGGTTGGGGTTGTGTGGGTGGTAACCACTTGATGTGTCTATCTCACATCGATGTTTCTCTCTTTCTTTCTCCCTCCTGCTCTATCTAAAGATAAATGCAAAAATGTCCTCAGGTGAGGATAAAAAAAAAAATTCTTTTGGCACACCAGTTGAAAATCATTGATCTAGTTGAATGCTCTGAAAAAAAAAAACAAAGACAAAAAACTATTCTGCAAAAACTGAGTCGCATGGACTCATGGATTTATAAGTTATAGAACACCAGGCTATAAACTGCCAGAGGGCTGGTACTGCTCCTTATTTTTCATGATTGTAAGTTTTGAGCACTTAATACAAGTAAACATTTAATCAACTTTATTAAATGTAACTGTGATAATATCTCATTCTGATTCTTGTATGGTTTGGGGGCACAGAAGTATGAGAAAATTAAAGGAATAATACACATTGTTCCTTCCGTAGGGGCTGCCACACATGCAAAGGTCAATGTACACCTGTAATTAACAGTCCACTAAGCAATAAAAATACATTTAAGTATAAAAGGTGAAAAGAGATGTATCCCTGATTTTAAGGATTTCACAGCATATAAAGGAAGATAAACATTTTTACTTTATTCCTTGAGAGTCATCTGTGCGATGAAGAGTTTATCGATCACTGTTACCTGGATCATACAGGATGGGGCCAAGGTAGGTTTACAGCTGTTTAGAAAATAATGCAATCATTAATAAATAATAATGCAAGAATAAACTCTGTGTACTCACAACTGTTAACCTACTTTTGCCCACCTGTATATAGCTTCCATTTAAAGGAAACGATTCGGCCTTGGAGACCAGGTTTGTAGACATGTTTTGAACTGACTTGTGGTCCAAGTGGGACAGAAGAAATGAAAGCCTTTATTGTCATCCCAACCTGAAGAGATGCGGAAGCAGCCTGCAGGCAGGGCAATGGCCATGTTTGTGTTCTAAGGATTTATAGATATGCACTCTATTGACTACACATTAATTTTGATATGTTATTGTTCATAGAAAAGCATTTTTGCTTTGGAAACTTCTTGCTGTGGTGTTTAGGAGGAATACACTATTTTCTTGCTGTGGTGGTGAGGTCAGGAAGATCAGCCCACGGAGTGGGTGTGGTTATTACTGACTCCTCTCCAGGAGAAAGCTGTCATTATTGCATCACAGTTAAATCATCGGCAGCTTGGGTTGGCCCAAATCCCACAAGACTTGCCACCAGGGGAGCAATGGGCAGCAGCAGCTCGTCCCAGGCTAAACCCTGAACCTGTCTCCAAGGCCCCCTTTTCTCTGACTTCCCCGTAAGCCAAAGCAACCCCCCCAGGCTCTCCTATTGCTTCTCCTATGCCCTTCCTCATTTCACTGTCCTAAGTGTGTTTTTGCTGCAACCAATAAATTCTTGCTTGCTTTTCTACACTTTGTCTCTTGACTGAAATCTTTCCATCAAGAAGACAAGAACTGAGGTCTCATCACCATCTTGCTGGTAAGAGCTGTTCCTGACTCCTGGCCGTGAGGAAGCTGTCCTTATTGCATCATTGTTAAAGCAGCAGCATCTTGGGTTAGACTGAAATAATAGGACATACTGATCAGAATTTCAGTCTCCTCTTTGGATTGAAACTCTCAGCTAAGAAATGTTAAGAAATTTTGATTTTTATACCACATTCTGCAAGTGAGAAATTACATAATTAAGGAATGGGTTAAAACAATTTATGTTGATATCACTAATCATAATGTGTATGATATTTCACTTTCACAGATGAATCAAAATTTTCTACTAAAATTTCTAGTTAACCTCATATTGATAAAATATTTTATTGAAATTATATTTTCCCATGTAATATGCCGGGTATTCTTAACTGTATATTAAATAGTTTTCATATGGTCTGGCCGGTGTGGCTCAGTTATTGAGCATTGACTCAAGCACCAGGAGGTCGCCGGTTCAATTCCTGGTCAGGGCACATGCCCAGGTTATGGGCCCGATCCCCAGTGGGGGCATGCAGGAGGTGGGCAATCGATGTTTTCTCTCATCGATGTTTCTATCTCTCTCTCCCTCTCATTTCCTCTCTCTCTAAAATCAATAAAGAAAAAAATAATTTAAAAAGAAAACATTTTTATATGGCCCTGGCTGGTGTGGCTTGGTTGGAGCATCGTCCTGTCACTGAAAGGTCATCGGTTTGATTCCCAGTCAGGGAACATACCCAGGTTGTTGGTTTGATCCCCGGTCAGGTACATAGAGGAGGCAGCCAATCAACATTTCTTTCTCACACCAATGTTTTCCACTCTCCCTCTCCCTTCCTCTCTCTCTAAAATCAATGAAAAAACAAACAACAGTACAGTATCCTTGGGTGAAGATTAAAAAAAAAGTTTTCATATGTATTATTAGATAGCAATTTTATTAAAGTTATGTGCTAAAATGATGACATAGTTTTTAATGTACTGTGCTGTTCACAATGCAAGAGCTATACTGTGTATGGTCTTTGTTTCTTTGTTGTCCATTTCTAGATCTTTCCTCATGGTGTCCAGGAAGGGTGGTCACCTGAAGGATATCTGAGTAAGTAATGCTCCCAGGGGCTCGCGTTCCTCCAGGCCAGCAAGCAGTTCCTGACTGCAGGCAAGAGCAGTTGCACGAACTCTCCAAGGGTCTTCTTAGCCCGAGAGATCATTTATTTTAAGGATCATCAGATCTAAACTCTTGTGCTAAGCTCCATTCATGCCAGAAGTCTCAGGCTCCCAGGTCCATCCTGCTTCTCTTTGATTTATACTCCATTATGCTCTTTACATCCTCAGAAATGTAGCAATTCTACATCATTTACCACTCTCCTGAAACATTTTTTTTTTTTGCCATTCTGTTTTTTTTTTTATTAATTAATTTTTGTTACAGATGTTTTTCCTTTTTCCTCCACTGATTCCCCCCTCTCCTTCCCTCCCTGCCCTGTCCCCAGCTTTGTTGTCCATGTCCACTGTTCATGCATACATGCGTATAAGTTCTGTGGTTTATCTTTCCCCCGCCACCCCCTCTTCTGGGGATTGTCAGTCTGTACCCCATTTCCACGTCTCTGGGACTACCCCATTCCTCAGACTGTTATGTTCATTATATTCCACAAATAGGTGAGATCATATGATACTTGTCTTTCTCTGTTTGACTTGTTTCACTTAGGATAATACTTTCCAGGTCCCTCCATGTCATCTCGTCCTCTATCTTTAACCTCAGTGTGGCTTTCAGGTGAAGGCTTGTAAGCACCAGCAAGATGGAGCTAGCATAGGTGTCCTCATTTCTCACTGCATCTCTGAAATCGTTACCCCGTTTCCTCCTATGAAAGATTTAGTTTCAACTAAGCACATGGTATGAAATTCCACGTTCGATCCTATGTGGTACTTCATATCCAGACTTCTCATTCATTCTT